CGCTTCCCGCCTGGGAGGTGGGTGGGGGGCCATGGCAGAGCTGACCCAGGCCCCCTCACCCTGCCGTGTCCTGCTTTTGCGAGCTTCATACCTTTTATCGACGAGTATAATCAAGAAGGGCCAAGGAGCAGCTGCTGTTCCCCTACCCACCTGCCGGGCAGGGAGCTCTGGCTGGGTAGATCACCATACACCTTCCCTTGCTGCCTGCTCGTCTTGTCCCCATTTATCTTGTTCTCCCGCACCTCCTGTTTAAGGTCCAGGAGAAGACAGACCTGCAGGGAAACACCTGCCTAGGGCTGCAAGGGGTCTGTCATCGTCAGGCAGAGACCCCCAGCCCCCCGAGGGCCCAAGCTGACAGCCCAGAGCCGATGGGAATTTCTCCTGACGTCCCACTGCTCAGCTTGGTGGCCTTCCTGACCTGCCTGCCCATGTTCTGAGCCCCAGAAAACCACCAGGACGTGGGCGTCCTTATCTCCATGTTGTCTCTGTGGCTCCACAGATTTGAGAATGTCGTAGCTGATAAAAATTCCACCTCCCAGCCACAATTGCCACCGCGGGTCAGAGCTGCAGGTGGGGCAATTCTGAACACTCATCATCACATAATTTTGTACAAAATGAAGGTGTTAAAGTGATGCTTTTATACTCACAGAGCTCTTTGGACCAAAGGCAGTGGTAGAGCATGTACTTAGGGAGACTATTTTTTAATGTGAAATGGCCTCCAGAAGGGATAAAGCAGAGAGGAGGGCTCACCAGGTCATGTTTCCTGGCAACATTTAGAGGGTTTTAGCATTGTAGGCAAGCAAACTGCACAAAGGTGCTGCAGGTGAGGCTGTCATGGCATCCCGACACCTTGTCTAGGAGAAAGAAAGAAAGTTGCCCAGGTTTCGGCTACACAGCTCTCATCTGTTCCAGGCTGTTGGCCCCAGAAAAACGTCTTGTGGTATCAAAAGGGGGAGTGATGGGTGCTCCCCACTGTGCTCATGCAGATGTGCCAGACTGAGTGACAAGTAACAGCAGTGGCAGCAGACAGTGAGTTGACATCAATGCTTCTTCTAAATGCACCTGTTTCACAAAATTGTCACTTCCCCTTGCCCCTCCCATTTCAGAGAGTAACTTATTGAAAAGGAAATGTCTCTGAGAGAGCAGTTAAACCCAACTGGTAAGAGTCACATCAACATCCAGGACCTCTTTGGTGCACTGAGCTGTGCGTACAGTTATATATGAGAAGACAGAGATCGTTTATGGCCCTGGCATTGTTTGTAGAGTTAATTATCTGTACTTGTGGGGGACCTAGAGTGGTCCAAAAGGATTCTCCTCCTCTGGGTCATGAGCAGGCACGACCTCAGCCTCTCTGACACTGCCCTTCTTACCAACACCAAGAGTACCATTGCTTTCCCCATTAGTAAGAAAACCCAAGGACTCTACAGAGGTTTGTGGGAGCCCTGGTGATATGCACAGTGCTTCAAGAAGTCTGTGTGTTCTTTCCCCTTGGGTAGGGGAGGACTAACTCAGTGTGATCCCTGATTCCCTCCATGGCAAGGCCACTCATAGTGCTCGTGGACACTGCTGAAGGGGTGTGTTTGCTCCTGCCACACTTCCTTGGAAACAAACCTGGTTCAATATTAACTCACATGCTATCTACCATTCCTTATTGCAGCAATGGCAGGGTGCTTGGCTTTCCTACATGGAATACTTTCCCTGTGTTTGTGTTGCTGTCATCCTGGGGCACAACACCCTTCCGCTGTGGCCAGCACCCAGCGCTCCACTCTGAGAAGGGACAGGTGGCCAAGCAGATATGTGGGGCTTACAAAACTGATGGTCACCATGGTTAATATAAACAGGGGATTTGAGCTGTGATATCTGGCTGTGGTCACTGGTAGTGTCATAGCTGTAAAAACTGGATAGCACATCTTAGAGCAGCCAGGGGAACGGCTGAATCAATGAGGCATAGATGATATTAGACTTCATGCAGAACTTCAGAGGAGCAGGGCTGACAAAGGAAAAGACCTTCTGTTTTTAAAAACTCCCAGAGGGACTGCTAAACTGTGGAGTCCTTCCTGGAGGAGAGGGGGTTTTACCACTAGTGCTCTGGTTGGCAGGACTGAAAGAGGCCAAGGGTAGAGGGGTCCTGCATGGATGCAGATTACTGGGTTAGGAGACCATCCCCAGGAGACATGCTTTGCTGCCTCTCAGGCTTTTTCTTTAGTGGCTGTTTGGTAGACCCAAAAGCTTTCCTTTCCCCCACACCCTGTGGAAAAAAATAAATAAATCTCAGGGTAACACACAACAGTCTCCTAATGGACGTTGCAAAATGTCAGCCTTGTTAGAAAACAGGCTTTTATTCACTCATTGTTCCATCTCTAAAAATTCCCTTCTACTGTTCCCCTCGCCCCACAAATGGGATCACAAGCTGTTTATTTCTGGCTCACCCTTACAAACCTTGGTCTCAAATGAGCCTCTCAAAAGGACCAAATGGGAAGGCACCAGATGTATGAGTTCCTTGAAGAGCTCCAGCAGCTGAGGAATGACTGAGGGCTGGCACCAGCTTCTACCTTCTCACCAGGCCTTAAACCACACAGCACATCATGGCTGGGTATTTCTGGGTCCTCTGCAGAGCAAAATCACCATGATGCTCCTTTCATCCAGTAATGTTGGTGAATGCTCCTGAAGTGGCGACAGCTGAAACCCATCTCCCTTTCACTTTATAATTTCTGAGCAAGGACAGAAAATTATAAGCAACAACCAGTGTTACAGCATAAAACTAGTGCCAGGAAGCACAGAGGGCTCAGCGCTGTGTGCATTCCCTGTGCTCCTGGACACCAGCTTCCCCAAGGACAGCCTCTCCTTTGCCCACCTCACTTTGTACCAGAGAAGAATCATAAAATAGAATCACAGAATGAGTTGGGTTGGAATGGACCTCAAAGATAATACAGTTCAACCCCCTGCCGTGGGCTGGGAAATTTTCCACTAGGCCAGGTTGCTCCAAGCCTTGTCCAACCTGGCCTTGAACACTTCCAGGCAACTTCCCTGTCTTTTCAGACCTCCCAGTTGGTAGCTCAGCCTTCCTTGATGAAGCAGCCAGTACTTTCCAGAAGGTGAAATGGTGTGGCCACATTTGCAATTACCTCATTTCTGCTGAGCCACTTCTAAATCAGAAGGAAAGCCAGAAAAAAAACCCAAAACAATCATGAAATGGCCCTGAAGACAGCAGCTTGAAACACATGACATACCATAATCCCCTTACCTCCAAACCCGCCCTATCTCATGAAGACATGTTAAAAACAGACCCGTGGACATAATGCATTTGAGAGCCAGGATCTCTGCTGGGCCAGACCCAGCATGCTCAGAGCAGCAGCCCAAGGGCAGAGTTTGGCCCACCACTTCTGTCTCTGGTGCTTGAGCTGTGGTGGTGTTTTCTGGAGCATATGCTGCTCATGGACTAAGGGCCGGGATGAAGCTGTTCAGTTTGTGAGTCATTCAGCATTGTGAACTCCCTATCAGCAGGTGCTGGATGGAAGCCATCCCAAACATGTCCAGGCAAAGTCCCTCCTGAGAAACCCAGCAGGTAAGGCTGGAGGCTTCTCCCTCAACTTCAATGGGAGGACTTTCTATAGCAACAAAAGACAGGCACTTGGCTGGTTGGAATAACCCTTCCTTGCTTCATAAAATGGGCTTTGTGAAAATGGGTGTCTTTTTCTCACCTCTTTAATTTCTTCTGTGGTGCAGAGACAGCAATGGATCATTGAAAGTGTCTTCATCAGTCATAATAGATGGTTTGCACTGGATAGAAGACTGAGATCCTTCTTCTGAATCCTCCTTCTGCCAATCCTTTACATAGTGGGGGGTTTAAAACATTTCCCAATTTCCATGATGTTATGTGAGGTTTAATCCCAGAGGATACAGTCTTCCAGCAGATTAAGTCACAGCCTCATAAATCACTCTGGTAATTTGCCCTTTTTCATCCCAAATTTTCTGTAGTTCAGCTTCTAATTGCTCCTCCCCTGCCCCCCACCTCTGGGGCGTTTGTACCAATCAGATGCACTTGTCCATAAATAAAAAATCACCCAAATAATAAACAAAAAGTTTATATTTACAAGTGGAGCCTTGTACTCTTGGAATTAAACTCTAATTAGGTCAGTTATGTTCCCCTGGTAGGGAATGAATGATAGTGCTGAAAAACAGACAATTTATAGAGACCCAAAAATAACTCATCCTGCTGTTTTGTGAAAAAGAGATGTTTTCTCTGCCCTGTGCTGAGGACATTTGCAGTTGAGGCCACTCAGACACACTGACACCAGTCACACAAACTGCAGCTTGCTCCCACAGGCAAAGCTGGCCTGTGCCTCAGTTTCCCCCTACCAAAGGAGGAATATTAATCCTCCCAGTTTGGCAAGGTGCTGAGGTTACCTGTGCTTGTGAGACATTTTGTCACATGTTATCGTTTGATATGA